CACTGGACATAAACTAAAGCAAATGAACGTGCCTCTATGCCACATCGGTGCGTAATCACACAGAGAAAAAAACAACTTCAGGGGACTTCAGAACAGGTTGCCAACTGCAGATACTTAGCAGGATACACTGCAAAGGCTTTTTAAGAATCCCAAATAATTTTAAAACGATAATCAGTCATTTTATTGTTGGCAGCCGCATTTATTTCTTCCACACTCCGCAGTTCTCCTGTTTAGCTCTGGTCCCCGGGCTGGCGTAAGCCCCCAGGACCTTCTACCACAGTGGCAGGAACCAGCCTTGGGCTCCCCATGCTTGTGTCCCCAGGGCCTGGCTCATAGTAGGCCCTCAATGAGCGCTTGTTGGGTGGAACTGAAGCTCAAGGCACTAGGATTCTTCTCAAATGAGCAATAGGCCTCTGAGACCTCCGTCTCATCACTGGAGGCCCCCTCGGTTCTTCGCATGGCACCAGCCAGGACTCTGCCTTCCTGGCCTCTGTCTGCCCTGGGGACCAGGCTCTCCCCTTCTGCTTCTCGGCTTCAGACTCATGCTCCTATCCCACTTTGCCATGTAGCAGTCATTTACTTTTGTTTTTTAATTGATTTGAGAGAGAGAGAGAAAGAGAGACGGATTTGTTCTTCCACTTGTTTCTGTATGCATTCATTGATTGCTTCTTATCTGATCAAATCCGAAAACTTGGCATATCAGGGATGACACTCTAACCCACATGTGTCAAACACAAGGCCCGCGGGCCAAATCCGTCCCGCCAGGCCTTGCAATGTGGCCCGCACCGCGCTGTCATCACTGCACTCCGCTGTGTTTCCATCACAATGACAGTTTATGACTGTTCAGTAAACCATTCGGCCCACGATTTAGGCTGGATTTTAGATTTTGGCCCCTTCTCTGATTGAGTTCGACACCCCTACTAACCAATTGAGCTACCTGGCCAGAGCTAGTCATGTGCTTTTTACAAAGGGGTTTTTACATTAATTATAAATAAACTCATGGTCTTTCAAGACAGAGAGATCTGGGTTCGAGTCCCACCCTGCCATTTGCTAGCTAGTGACTCTGGATGGGTTCCTTACCTGAGCTGCTCCAAGTCAAAAATAAGTGTTATGCTAGTGCCTCATTGGACTTGTGGGCAATCAACTGAAATCATGTATTCAAATGCCTTAAAACATAACCTAACATCTTCTAGGAACTCTAAGTGGCCCCTACAGCCAGTTGCTTCTACTATCACAAGTCTTGGGTTTCTCCCTGCCTGAAAGACACACGTCTTCTAGAACATCCAGTGCGGTCAAGGGTGTATGGAGTGGAGAAGCAGAAGGGGCCCAGCCTGGTTCCTACCCTGAGCCCCAGTGCAAATCTTCCTCTACAGGGCTCAGCTCCAAGGAGTCCAGCTGGGTGCATCTGGCTGGGGAGATTAAATTATTTTTGAATTCCTAACTGAATGTTCTTTTAATGGAAACTTAATGACAGGCATTGAAATAGATTTCCTCCCTCACCCCTTCTCCGGGCGCCCCCCTCCCCAAGGCTCTGGGTTGCCCGGTTCCCGATAACCTTTATTCCCTACCCCTGGACTTTTATCTCCCCAGTGACAAACAGCGCTGGCCGGACAGAAAGAGGAAATTCCAGTCATTGTTCTCCAACTTCTGGCTTCCAAAATAAAATGCTCTATCTCCCCCTGTCAAGCTTTGATTGACACACACTTCCTGGAATGGCAGACAGCAACGGCCCAGGGGCGGGGCCAACGGGTCATTTGCATGCTTTGCTTCAGAGGTTTTCAGAACATGTATTCCAAATGGGGGAAGATTTCCCCATGCTGGCCACCGAACCCCCTTGTTGGGACCCAGCTCCTGTGTTATGAAAAACTTCCAAGAAAGGAAGGCGCCCCTCACCTGCCCACACTATCTACCTAAGGACATTCTTCCAGGGCCTGTTCCACACCCCATCAGCTATGGAAACAGACAGGGATCATCTCACCTCTGAGAGTTGGCAACTGAGAGTGGATCTGTTCCTCACCCTTTCTCTCTTGAGAAATCAATGGTTAGACTGTCTCCCAAACCTTAACTCTGAATACTGGAGCTTGAGCCAGCCTAAGTCCAGGAAGATAAAACCAGGATCCCACTCTCCAAGTCTAAATCCCCATAGCAACAGAGAGAAATCAGGCAAGTTCAGTGGAATCAGTATCAAGACAAAGTTTGCATAAGGCAATGCATCATGGGATGCAGTTTTATTTATTTTTAAATTTTTTTTTTTAAGGAATAAGAAATGCTGAGTTCCTTGTGAAATGGATAGATCAGTGAATGTGGTCGTAGCTATAGTGAAACTGATGGAGTCACGCCCTGCTGGGAACAATGGTACCCCATTGGAATAAAAAGCCTACTGTCAGCATCGCCAAGTTGGCCTTCTGGAACCTTCTGTTTCCCATGTATCTTCTTTACTCACTGAGTTCCTGGGTGACCCTCTCCTTCTGAATGTCCGGGGTTTTTATGCTGCTTTGGGGTTCCAGTCACCCCAAATCAGCAGTACCTGCGTGGGAAGGGGGCACTTCCCAATGGGTTTCTTCGATGTCTGTTAATCATTGCTAGAGGGTCAATGGAAATTTATATTTCTTTTTTAAAAAAATATATTTTATTGATTTTGTTACAGAGAGGAAGGGAGAGGGATAGAGAGTTAGAAACATCGATGAGAGAGAAACATCAACCAGCTGCTTCCTGCACACTCCCTACTGGGGATGTGCCCGCAACCAAGGTACATACCCTTGACTGGAATCGAACCCGGAACCTTTGAGTCCACAGGCCGATGCTCTATCCACTGAGCCAAACTGGTTTCGGCAGGAATTTATATTTCAAAAGGATACCCCACGTGGCAGAAATGCCTTAATTCTGATAAAGGAGTATATGGAAGCAGATACGCTTCCACCAAATAGCCCAGAAAAAAATGCCCATCACAGAGGCTCCAGCTGTCATGCAGCATCCCTCACAATCAGAAGAAACAGATTGTTTGGGTCATCTTACTCCCAGCAGTCCCCAGGTGCTACCAGTGACAAGCACGGACCAGAAGGAATGTGTTCTGGTGTGAAGGACCCAGGTCATACATTTCTCTCCAGTTTACAGAGGGACTTGTATCCTAAGGCCTCATACCGGGGGCCAGGGGAGAACTCCAGCTCCCTCAAGCTCGACTGTCCTGATTTCCTTCCATTTATTCATAGATTAAACTGCTATGCCAACTCCCAGTCACACAGCAATCTCCCGTGTGGGCCAGCTGCGTCACTGTGATGGCTACCAACTAACTGTGCAACCCTGAACGAAGCAGACTGCCCACTGGCCTTGGTCAGCAGGATCAAGTTGGGTGGCTGGATCTGTCCAAATGCAACCCCAGGCCCGGGCAGACAAAGCTGTCCCTATGACAAGTGCTGGCAGCTGCCACTCTATGCGCCAAGATGCACTGGAGGGGTGTGCTGGGTGGCTCAGGACAGCACATGTTGGCAACCGAGCTCATTTCCTCCTGGGAAGCTGAAGCTGGCCATTTTCATCCTACTGGCCAGCCCCCCAGCCCTCCCATTGCTCCCTGGAGAAAGTCCACTCTCAGGAGGAGGGTTTCCATCAGCGGGTCCATCACACTGATGCTCAATGACTGACATTTTTAGAAAGAACATGCAGTACCAGATATTTAATATATTAATCATCACAGTCAGTCAAAACAGATTGATTCCTAAGCAGCTTTGAGTACCATCCTTTGGAGAATACATTCAAAATCACATAGGTGGGGAACTAAGACATTCACAGTAAAACCTTCCCCTGATGATCAATCCTGTCCAGCTGGCGTGGCTCAGTGGTTGAGCACTGACCTATGAACAAGAAGGTCATGGTTCAATTCCTGGTCAGAGACAGGAAGACCTGGAGCTTTCCTCACTGTGGGGCCACATCCCATTCCTTTTCACACTTTTTCCCCTTCAGAGGCAGCATGCCAATACCAGCCCCAGGCACAAAAACACAAATATGGTTTTTCTCAGAAGCATTAGAGGTACTTTCCCTTCTACACTGACTTCCCCCCTTTACACTCCTCATTGCTTTCTTGTGGGATCAAGAGATATTCTTTTAATACCTTCATGGCCCTTTATCCCACAAATACAAATGGAAAGAAATATCACCACTTTTTTTTTTTTTTTTTTTCAAACCAAGCATACTTTCTTGCAGAAAAGTGTTCATGGAGATTCTGGAGCGATGATCTAGCTTGTGTCTAAATATACCATGGGAGGTCGTTTGGGCCACAACCCAGCTTGGACAGCAGCGCATGGATACATCGTAAAGGAGGTTGGGCTTGGAGCTCCTCTCCATGTTAGGAATGGAGAGACACAGCGACCGTGGACTGTCCCTCGTTCCTCCAGAATCAGTGTGACCCAGGTTGAGATGCGAATTCCAACAACCAGGGCTTGAGAGGGGCAGAGCCCCACAGCTGGAACAGTCTTTTCGTATTGTCTTTGATTGGTTTAGTTCCCCCCAACTCAAGAGACAATCTTTCCTTTGATAAAAGTCAATGTTAAAATAAAAGTGACTTGCAAATGACATTGTACTGTATGGAGAAAACCCTAAAGATTTCACCAAGAAACTAGCCAATCAGAGAAAGACAAGTGCCATGTGATTTCACTTATATGTGGAATTCAATGAGCAAAATAAACTAACAAACAAAATAGAAATAGACTCAGATACAGAGAACAAACTGACAGCTATCAGAGAGGAGGGGCGTTGGTGTGAAGGGATTAAGTACACACAAGAAAACAAAAACTCATAGACACAGATAACAATAGGATGATTATCAGAGGGAAATGGGGGAGGGGAGAGGTAGAAGAGGGTAAATAAGAGAAAAATAGTGATGGAAGGAGATTTGACTTGGGCTGGTGAACACACAATACAATATACAATGATTTATTATAGAACTGTACACCTGAAACCTATATAATTTTATTAATGTTACCCCCAAAATTCAATAAATTTTTTAAAAAATAAATAAAGTGACTTATTTCTTATCAGTAGAATGAAGACAAGAATATGTTTTTTTTTCCCTGATCCTATATAAAGCTCATAACTTCTTTAAGGAAACTTTTAAAAATACCTTATTTGATCTCATTAAACTGATGAGACTTTTGTCTGTTTCTATTAACATTGCATGATTTTAAATAATCATATTCAAGTGAGCTCCCATGACTTCTATATTCTAGCTCCCTACAAATACAATGCATGATCTACTGCACTAGCCTTGTAGAGTCTTATAGAATCACGGTTATGGAGTTCAGGGGCATTGTGCTGGGGCTGTGGTCTGCAAACTGTGGCTCGCGAACTACATGCAGCTCTTTGGTCCTTTGAGTGTGGCTCTTCCACAAAATACTACGGCCTGGGCAAGTCTATTTTGAAGAAGTGGCATTAGAAGAAGTTTAAGTTTAAAAAATTTGGCTCTCAAAAGAAATTCCAATCATTGTACTGTTGATATCTGGCTCTGTTGACGAATGAGTTTGCCGACCACTGTGCTGGTGAACTTGAGTGGCTTTTGTCTGCTTTCACACCCCCACATTGTTGATCGCTTCATCATGCTGCTAGTAACTATGTGTGTTCGAAACTTGGCTTTCCTTGTGTTGAAAAGCTGCTGCTACATCTTAGTGTCATCTGTCTCGTTGACTTCTGACAAAGTGAAGTTGGGGTTGTCATAGCCTCTCTTCATCTTGGCCCTGGCATCCCTCTCATTGTAAAGGCACATGGCACAGTGAGGGGTGTCCACTGCCACTGTTTTGCTGAAGTTATGGAAATCCACTCGGTATTTCCCTTCCTTGGTCTTGGACACGATGGGAGCAAATCGGTAGCCCCAAAGCACCTCTTCTGGGACATAGGATGTCCGGACTTGGCAGGTGGCGCTGGTGGACTCCACAGTGCCATCTAAGAACACCACTAACTCAAAGTCCTGCTGGAGGAGTGTTTCTGCCGCCATGTCGAAGAAGGGGCTGTTGTGATCAATGATGTGGTAAATGGTTAGTGGGGAGATGAAGAACAAGTTTTCATTTCCGGCATCAACGATGAAGTTGATATTGGTCTGGTCCAAAATAATGGTCTCTCCCTCAGGAGTGACCGTGGTCTTCAGAAGCTTCCCGTAGATGTGACTGCCAATGAGGAGGCTCTTCCGGAGGTTGGCCACTCGGATGAGGAGACACAGCTTCCCGCCCCGCTTACTGATCACGGCATTCTTGCTGAAGGTAATCGTCTTTGCACGCTTTTTGGGTCTGGAGATCTTGGCTAAAATGGCGCCACACATGAAGGAATTGATGATGACTCCGAGTATAGACTGGAAGATGAGCAGGAAGATGGCGGTGCCGCACTGTTCAGTCACACACCTGAATCCATAGCCAATAGTCACTTGTGTTTCCAGAGAAAACAGAAAAGCTGAGGTCAAACCATTAATGTTGTCCACGCAAGGGGTGTGGTTGTCCGGTGGATGGAACTCGGGGAGATCTTTGTGAATATAGGCCACAGCATACCACAGGAGGCCAAAGAGGAACCAGCTCCCCAAGAAGGCTGTGATGAAGATGGTCATCTTGTACCTCCATTTGAGGTCAAGCACCGTCGTCCAAATGTCCACAAAGAATATAAACCTTGTCTGCGCCTCCACGTTGCCAAACTCTATGTTGCACCTTCCATCTTTGGAAACCAGCCTTGTTCTTCGCCGGGGATGCCCAAAAAAACGAGTGACAAACCATTTCCGAAGATATTTGAACATTCTTTCTGTCAACACCTTGATCTGAGAACACATCAAAGAAAGGCAAACAAAATAAAATTGTATTTAGAGCAGCAGTGACGTGCATGACACCCATAAAGAACTACCTGTTTATGAAAAGACATTCCAAACAATCTGGATTACTGACCATTTGGCAAGCTGACAAGTTTATTCTGGATGCCACAATTCTATTTTCAATAGAAACTTTCCACCAGAAGGCCATATTGCTTCAATATAAAGAGGAAAACTAACCCAATGAAAGAGAATTGGAAAGAATCTAAGAGAGTTCCCAACCTTAATCGCACACAACCTTTAAAAAGTTTGTGATAACCATCATGACCTGTACTCTGATATTTTTATATTATTCTTTAAATAAGTTCTCCTTTAAAAAAAAAAAAAGTAAAGTTAGGTTTGGGGGGATGAGAAGAGATAAAGCAAAGCAATTATATGCTTATATGCATAGCCCATGGACATGGTATGCAATAGAGTAGTGAAGACCTAAGGAGGCGGTAAATAAAGGTTTGGAGAAGAGGGGGGTAATGAAGGGGGGAAATGGAAGATATCTGTAATACTATCAACAATAAAATATATATTAAAAATTAATTTAGCTTTATATTAAGTAAAAATATCCGTGAAAGCAGAAGCTTGATGCACTATTTACATTTTTTGTAATATATAAAAATAAGTGATTATGAAATAAATAGCTCACAAATGTGTCCTGCTAGAGGCATATACATATCAATAAATAAGAATCCTGATTTGATTCAGTTCTCTCATTTATTAAATGAAGGAACTGAGACTCAGATAATCCCAATGACCCATCCAGGCATGTACAAAGCGGCAGGAGAACACGGAGAGCATGAGGGTCCCTGCTGGTCAGTCCAGAAGAGCCTCTTCCCCACCGCCTCTCAGTTATGAAACACTCTTTTCTAAAGTTAAATTTCCCTGAGACATTTTCAGAGAAGTATTAATCAACTTCCTTTTTGTGTTAATGCGGGGCGCTGTTTAGAGCCCAGTTCCTCAGTATAGTTTGGTCAAGTCCTACCATCTGATGGCAGAAGTTTTCTCAATGCCTCTGCAAACCTGTTTCTACTCTCTCTTTGTGGTATGCCAACACCCCCCCAAAAGTAATATGGTGGTCACCAGAAATCTCTCACACATTCTTCCCTGCTCCCAAGCTAAAGGACTGGGAGCTCTGACTTCAATTCTAATACTCTGTGAGGGTAGGATCGTGTTTAACTCACTCTTCCCTAGCTGTTGGCACAGTCTATGTCTTACTATTTAGTATAAAAACATAAATGAAATAAGTCAGTGAATGAATTAAACTCTTCAACTGCTATCTGATCAATGGTTTCTTATCGATGACATTATTTTGACTTCCGTTTTATAGCAAAGAATGAAAGGGTTTCCCCCTAAACAGCCAATGATGATGACACCTGGGGACATAAACACAAGAAAGACAACCTTAGGCGTACCTACTGCCACTCTAAGCTCGTTCACCATGGTGACCCATGTCTTCGTGATATTTTTAATCAAATGCAAATAAGTTTCTAAAATAGATTTCAAAACCCCCTTCAAAAATGTGTTTATTCATACAAACTAGGAAGCGAAACCAACTCAGTGATAAACTTCAAACAAAACTGATATTCCACAGTTTCTTGCTCATGATTTTAGACCAGGTGAAAATACAAGCCAACAAACCAAGTAGAAGTGGTGAAGAGAAAATTACAGCTGTGGTGATTTGAAATTCTAAGGACAGGTTCTAAAGATTTATATTCTTTTAATGCTATGAAGAGAACAAACAGCAGTGCCTGCCCACATCCCACCCAACTTCAAGTCCCCATGAGTATTAGGGGATGGTCCCAAATTGGATTCATGGAGGAAGACATGGGCTCCTTCTTTCCCATGCTCTCCCCTTTCTCTGCACACACAGCCTTTCACCTTGCTTACATTCACTGGGACTGTCTCCCTTTCTCAGGTTCATGGTAGTGCATAGCGTGTCAAAAGCTCTTCATAGAGTGGCCCTCACACAAGATATTAAATTCTAAAGCCAATTTTTATCAATTGAATTCACATTGTCTTTGAAATACATTATCATTTCCGAGATGACTCCTAACATACCAGCTTCTGGGTTTTCCCCCTGCAACCCTTTTCCAGTCTCTCTTAAAGTCATGGTCTGAGAGCAGGTAAAAATACAAGAAGCCAACACCAATTAGAAGTGGTTAAGAGACAACCACAGCTGTGGCAATTTGAAATTTTGAGGACAGGCTCATTTCACTTTGGATGATAAAGAATATTTCTGTAGAGTGAATAGTACCCCTTGACCTAGCTCTCAGATAAGTTTGGGTTTCCATGCCTATATTGCTAATAAAATATTGTCCGCCTGGCCTTGCAAAGAGTTGAAACAACAGCAACCAGCTTGTGATGCTTTCCCCAGATGGTTCGTACTCACCTTCATCCTAAATATATTCTGACCTGAAGCATCCATGGCTGGGTAAGGCAAGGAAGTGGTGTTGGGAGCTGGCCTCTGGATGCAGGCTGATTTGTTTCAGACCCAGCTTAATAGAGTTTATTCTTTCGTCCGTGGACGGATGCTAATTTGTACTAGCTTGAGAACACTCCAATTGGATAGTTGTGTGGTATAACCAAGGCAATTGTTTATTCTCAGACCGAGCCCCAGCCTGGGTATGTATTTTATCTTTTGAAACCTCACATGGCTTGAATACCGTCATGCTAAGACATGACAAGCCGCCAGCTGAGGTCCCTGGGCAGCAGGCATGCTGTGTTCCGACATTTCTCTCCTCTCCTTGCCACGCTCGGTGGCTCCCCTGCTGTGTCGCCCAGGTTGTGCCCAAGAACTTTGACCAAAACAATTAGTTATCCTCAATTTCCCAGACTCACCCCGAGATGGTGAGACGTCCAGGTGTTCCCAAAGATACAGGTGAAAACATAGACACAGGTAAGTACATATTTGTACTATGAAGGTAAGATCACACCAGAAAGCAACAAGATACCATGTTAATCTCTCTGGACAACAGACCCCGTTACGTAAGAAAGTGAAATTTATAAGCAGCCTTTATTGTTGGGTTTTTTAAAAATAAAATCTGGCCTTTATGAAAGGTACTTTTCACATATACCATTTATTTATTTATTCAGAGAGTGAGAAAAATTATACCTAGAGAAAGCAAGACTACAGGATAAATTCATCCTTTGATCAAAGCCATCCTTCACACGGCAGACCCCAAGGTATGCAGCACACATCCAACTTTGCTTAGACAGTGGCATTTAACCCAACCACAGACAAAGCCCATATGTATTTTTTAAACTATTGGTTGATTCCAGATTGGCCCTGGTGTCTGGGTTATGTAATACCCACCGATTTTAGGTTACTTTCTATTGAGATCAGTACATCTTAATGGCAAGCAAAGGGCTGGATATTAGCTAATATTTACCAAGGTATTCGGATTGGCCCGGCAAAGCAAGTGAATGATTCAAAAAATTCAGCATTAGCTTTCTGTAAACAGTCCACTCTCAGAAAATACTTTTTGTAAGCTTTTCAAACATTGAGTGTATGCTCATCATGCTGGATTTCAAAGACAAATAGAATTTGGTTCCTGTTCTCAAGGGGCTCACAGTTGAATGGGAACATGAGCTCCAGAAATCGGCTGTTGCAACGTGATTGGTCCCTAAAAGACCTCTGTCAGATGGGTATCCATCCCCTGCTAAAACACATCAACTGACAAAACACTCATTGCCTTTATGTATACATTCATGTATTTGTCTACTATTACCAAACACTGATATTTAATTCTGGAATATGTACCAGGTACCATGGTAGACACCAGGGAATTATCCTGTGGAAGTTTCCAGTCCAGTGTGGGAGTAAGAGATGCAAATGAACTGGGGAAAAACAACAATCAGTATGATACCAACCAGGATAGAAAAAAGTGGGAGTGATTTAGGGGGGAACCTTATCTAAGGGTGCTAAGGCCTAAAGATGGCATTTGGGGATACTTAGTAGGAACTCTGTACATGTGTGTTGACTGAAGATAAATCAATTAATCAATGTGTGCATAAATGTAATGAATTTGTTGTCACTATGTGGCTCCTGACAGATATTTTAGGAGAGACGTCCTGTGTCTTCTTTTTTTTTTTTTTTTAATGTATTTTATTGATTTTTTTACAGAGAGGAAGAGAGATGGATAGAGAGTTAGAAACAGCAGTGAGAAAGATTGACCAGCCACCTCCTGCACATCCCTACCTGGGATGTGCCTGCAACTAAGGTACATGCCCTTGACTGGAACCGAACCTGGGATCCCCTCAGTCTGCAGGCCAACACTCTATCCACTGAGCCAAACTGGTTTCAGCTAGGTCCTGTGCCTTCTTAACTAATATAACCGAGAAAACACTCTACTTATTGAACATCAAACCAAGATGGTCACAGTACCTGCTCTCAAGTTGCTCCAGATTAAATACATCAATAACTACAGTACAACAGGTGTACCACCCTGAGAGGGTTGAGAACAGGGTTTTAAAAGCAGCCACCAAAGAGGAGACCCAATAGACTGGGTGGCAAGCTGATACTCTTCAACACACCTTTGCTAGGAGGATAAATAGGTGCCCTGACTAGGAGGTCTTCCTGTTTTCTATGAAAACAGTCTCAGGCTGTCGGAGGATGGCTACCCAGCTGAATTTGCAAATCCTCAGAGCCCCAAGGAGCCTCAGTCATCCAGTCCCCCCTCCCCTCGAACTACCATTTTAATATCTGAAACCTATAGTTGGCAGAAGGTGTCATGTCCCATTTTCTCAGTAATTCTGAGACAAGTTAATTCTGATGCCTTTCGCACTATTAGGCAGTTCACTTGGGGTCAGCCTGGGTTCTTAAATAGAACTTGGCAAAGCTGGTGGAAACAATTTTCCTGGCCTCATGGGCATGTAAAGGGGCATCTGAACCTCAGGACTCTGCCAGCCTAGATTGGAGAATCCACTTTAGGAATAGCCCACCCTTGGCTTGAGTGTCTGCT